TTACCCTGGTGTCTTGGGCAGGTTTAACAGAGCATCTCTGATCAATGTGGGCTTCCTGGAGAGTGGCAATGACACAGACTACATTGCCATGCATGACGTGGACTTGCTGCCTCTCAATGAGGAACTGGACTACAGCTTCCCAGCCACTGGCCCTTTCCATGTGGCATCACCTGAGCTTCATCCTCTCTACCACTATAGCACCTACGTGGGTGGCATCCTGCTGCTCACCAAGCAGCACTACCGAATGGTGAGGCTCAAGTTGTTCCCTTTTCTTGGAGGGGCAGCTCCTGACATTCTTGCTCGGAAAATATCTGTTATTTATCTCTATTTGGGGGAGCAGCATTTGGGAAAGCCAGCCTGCTTGCTTAGTCCTGATACGCTGTGTTGACTGTCTTTGGTCATAAAGAGCACCACCCACATCTTGAAGAGTTTTAACATAATTGTGCAGGCTGTGCCTTTGTAAAGATGACAGCATGTTTGTTGAAGTGAAATGCTTAACAGCAGCCTTGCTGTCGTTGCAGTGCAATGGAATGTCCAACCGCTTCTGGGGCTGGGGCCGGGAGGATGATGAATTCTACCGTCGTATCAAAGGGGCTGGACTTCAAGTAAGAATGCCACATGCCTCTCACTGGAGGTGGGGCAGGGCGGGACAACACTTGGTCTTCAGGGCTCCCTGAACCCTACTCACCTCTTCCCATAGAAGTATATTGTTTAGACAGGTCCTCTGCACTGCAGTGAGATTTCTGCATACAACGAAGATGCCTGTCCCAAACCCCCCCCCCCAAAAAAACCCCTAAGATGCCTGTCATCAGACAAATGGTACACATGGGCTCTGCTATTTTATTTCAGCTCTTCCGGCCCTCAGGGATAACAAGTGGATATAAGACCTTCCAACACCTGCATGACCCAGCGTGGCGCAAGAGAGACCAGAAGCGCATTGCTTCCCAGAAGCAGGTGGGCATTTCTCTTCTGGCCCATCAGTGAATAGAAGATGTGGAGTTTGTGGAATACTGTCGCATGCCTTGCACTGTTTCCTGATTATTACTTCTGTTTGAGCTGTTTGTTTAGTTAGCAGTTCTTTTTGCTCAGTTCTGTTCTTCGCAAGCAACCAGAGGG